GGAAAATGAACATGAAAAAATACTGTGGGACTTTCGAATCCAGACTGACAAAGTTTTGAAACACAATACACCAGACATCATGATTGTGGAAAAGAAAAAAGGCTGGATTATTGATATCGCCATACTGGGTGACAGTCGCATTGAGGAAAAACAACAGGAAAAACTCAACTGCTATCAAGACCTCAAAATCGAACTGCAAAGACTCTGGCATAAACCAGTACAGGTGGTCCCAGTGGCTATTGGTGCACTGGGTGCCGTGCCAAAAGATCTCAGCCGGCATTTGGAAACAATAAACATTTACAAAATCATGATCTGTCAACTGCAAAAAGCCACCTTACTTGGATCTGCGCACATCATTTGAAAATACATCACACAGTCCTAGACGCTTGGGAAGTGTTCGACTTGTGATTTTGTGATGCGAAATCCAGCATATAGATCTCGTTTGCTGTGACATACTGTGCTTTTGTGTCAGTATAATAAATAAAGATCACATCCCTCAGCTGCTGCAAGAAGATTGTGCAGGCAGACTACAACCAGAGACATAGCACCATTGCTCAGATGTTTAATTGGAACTTGTGCCACAAATACCATCTGCCTGAGACAAAGAACTGGTGGGATCACAAGCCTGAAAAAGTTACAGAAAATCAACACGTCAAACTACTTTGGGACTTCAGACTGACAGAATTTTGGAGCACAATACTCCTTATCTCACAATCATTAAAAAAAAACCAAGTATGGATTGTCGATGTTGCAATCCCAGGCGACAGCAGGATTGAAGAGAAACAACTGGAAAAGCTGACACGATATGAGGATTTAAATATCGAACTGCAAAGACTCTGGCGCAACCAGTCTAGGTGGTCTCAGTGGTGATCAGCAATGCCTAAAGACCTTGGCCTGCACTTCAACACAATCGGTGCTGACAAAATTACCATCTGCCAGCTGCAAAAGGCCACACTACTGGGATCTGCGTATTCGCCGATACGTCACATAGTCCTAGACACTTGGGAAGTGTCTGACGTATGATCCAATACAAAATCCAGCATAGTGATCATGTTTGCTGTGTAGTAATCTTGTTGTGTTTCTAATAACAACAACAACAACTTTTATTTTTATACCACGCCACCATCTGCCTGAAGGGACTTGTGACAGCTTACATGTGGGACAAAGTTCAGAGCAAATAACAGAGTTTACCAGCTAAAAACACAGTTTAAAACATAATAAAATATCATAATCTAATTAGACAATTAAAAACAGCAGGGTATAAAAACATCATTAAAATGTAAAAATTAAGAAAAACAAACCTCATGCACCAGCGACTAGAAATATAGTGGGTATAATCAGAGATAGAGAGGGTTGGGCATGGACTTGTGCAAAAAGCAGAACTATGAGGCTGGGGGTAAAATGCTGAGTACAATCCATCTGTCAATTACTGCTGGGCATTCATAGACCCCTGGAGTATCTAAAATAGCCCCAAACTCTGTATTTTTCAGTCCTTTCTCTCTCACACACATATACACATAACAGTGAAAGGAAGCCCAAGCATGCAAACATATTTTTTATCAGTGTAGCTGGGTTTTATCTAACACTTTTGTGTCAAAGGCGCTGACATGTGAGCCCACTGGATTAACATAATGGATATTCACCGCACTTTCATATGAGAAAGTTGCTTTAGACCAAAAGCTTGCAGAACTGCCATGAAAATTCAGCTACTGTTGCTTGAACTATTAGAATGCATAAAAGTCTATGGGGATAGTTGCTCATTTGCTTTATAAATGTCATTCTATTCTACTGCTTAAAATGTAAGGAAGTTAATGCACTTCCCATGCAACCAGGGGGCCAAACAGAAGAGTGACACAAAAATCTCTATACTGTACCTGGTTATAAAAGCTTCTGCTTCTCTTTAGCTTCAATTTAGGTTGTTTTCAAGACTGTAATAAAGCACTTATGCACTGCGATTCAGAGATTTAGCAGTGTAAAGGAAGCACTTTGGTCTACAATTTTTTTTAAATTGTGTGTGTAGTTAATGGCGAAGAAACATTTCACAGAAAACACTTTAAACATTAAATTATATCAGTATTCTCTCTCAAAAAGAATTCCATCCCCACCTCTATTCCAGTGCTGTAGGAACGCATGGCATACAGTCATTTTAACATTGAAAGTACTTCTTCAATGCATTTTTTAATTTAAAAAAAACCCTTCTTGCTTTGCAGTTCCTAGGAGAGGGGAATTGGATTGGAGTGGCATGGCTGGTGGTATATGTCAACATTTTTTTAATGTGTTGATCAAGGTCTTCATCATTGAAGAGGCAAAATAAACTTCTCTTCTCCTTGGGACCACTGATGGGGTCACCACAGATTTCATGGCTGGGTGTCTCCTTCTGATCTCAGAGCGATTTAAGGAAGGCTCTGCTGGTGTTTTGCAGAGAAGGTAGTGCAATACTTCAACAGCACCAAAAGTGATGTGAATTGTTGTTCAGTAACATCTGGGGACCCAAACTGGGCAAAAACTAAAAAGCAATAACCACGATGCAAAGAAATTATAGTTGGCCCTCTGTATCCACAGATTCTCCATCTGTAGATTCAACAGCCCTTTGAAGGCAACCATAAGCCTGATCTGGCCCTCAATGAAAATGAGTTTGACATCCCTGTTTTAAACAAACAAGTATTGGGTTTCTGCATGGAAAGATTCTTAGGCCCCTTTTACACAGGCCATACATTTCAGAAGAAAGTGGGATGAAAGGGGGGTGGCTAGATGATGCACACCAAAAATGCACATAGGATCACGGAATCTGATAAAAAATGTTTAAAAGTTTTGCTTAAAATTCATGATTGCGCCAAAAATGTATTGCTACAAATATGGTATATCCTGGCAATAAAAAAAAGGTTGGTTGAAATACGCTGGTGTAGACTTCTCCGGTGCATTTCTTCATTTTATAATCTGGACACAGCTGATAAGGGAAGTAAACAGATAGAGCCAAATGAAAGCATGAGAGGAAAGCAATTTCCACAACAACTCTCTCCAACCATTCTTCTGTTCTCATACTTCTTGAAGGAAATGATACTTGAATTTACACAGTGAGCAGCAATATGGCAGGCAAGTGACCCCAAAGGGAAGTGAGGTTCAAGAGGACAAACTTAAAGGCACCAGGAGGGTTAGGAGAGGTGATGACAGGAAATCTGCTTATGTGCACTTTCTTATATCTGCATCAGTGCTTATGAGCTGCAGCACATTTCGGAGTGTCAATAAGAAAAAAAAGAAAAGAAAACCCACGGATGTCTCGCATCCGTTTTGTGGTTTTCTAAAATCTGCTATAACCAAACCATTCAGGATATTGGGGGACCATTTACAGGGACTGAGAGTCCTGTGTTTGGACTTTCTTTCAGGTACTGCCATTTTTAACCCCACTTCCTTTTCTCGGATTAAGGGGCTGTTTGGAAGAGCCCTTAGTTCATTCACATTTGGTATTCCAGAGTCCTAGGTTCATATTTCTTTAGCACCAGATGCTGATTGGTGAATTTTAAGGTAGTACTAAAATAATTTTTGAAAAAGAGTCGATTCACATACTGGGAATAAACCCCACTCCACTATGCAGACTGCTGCATAAATATCAAAAGTCCTTCTGACATATTTCTAAACTAGTTGATGGGTTGCTCTGAAATTAGTTCTGCACCTGTTTACATAAGGATATATTTACAGTTATACATAGATTCTTTCGATTCCCTACACACACCACTTCTGAAATCTACAGGATAACACAAAACATGTTCACTCTGGGTTGCTGAAAGTTTTTTGGGTGGTATGGCCATGTTCCAGAAGCATTCTCTTCTGACATTTCACCTGCATCTATGGCAGGTCTCCTCAGAGGTTGTGAGGTCTGTTGTAAACTAGGAAAATGGGGTTCATATATCTGTGGAATGTCCAGGGTGGGAGAAAGAACTCTTGTCTGTTCGAGGCAAGTGTGAATGTTTCATTTGGCCACCTTCACACCTACCTCCAACAGACAAGAGTTTTTCTCCCACCCTGGACATTCCACAGATATATAAACCCCATTTTCCTAGTTTCCAACAGACCTCACAGCCTCTGAGGATGCTAACCATAGAAGCAGGTGAAATGTCAGGATAGAATGCTTCTGGAACATGGCCATACAGCCCCCAAAACTGTCAACAACCCAGTGGTTCCAACCCATGAAAGCCTTCAACAATACATGTTCATTCTTTTCCTCATAATCAAATACTTCTGCTAGTTTTCTTCCACATGGTGCATAGCAACTGCTGCAGCCATTTTATTCTCAATTATTTAAAAAGACACTAGTGAAATAAACATGAGCCACAGAAGGTAGAGTCAGAAGAAATCAGAATGTTATCTTCCCCAGCTCCCTCCCAGAAGAGCAAAGTATTCAGTGATCCTTACAAGACACAGGTAATGTTGAGATAGAAATGGAAGTAAGTCCACAACTAAACACAGCCAGATAACCCAGCTATGAGCATATGCTGTAAAACAGAGGAAAGCAAAGTACAGCCCTCCAGATGTATTTGGGATTGTAACTCCCAATATTCTTAATCTACTCACTAGAGCTAATGAGAATTGCAACAGTATCTGGAAGGCAATATCTCCCCTACTCTTGCTATAGGCAAAATAAACACTCCACACCAAGGAATCCCCAGAGAAAAGGAACTTGTTTTAATTAAATGACAGAAAAAAGCAGAGTGAAAAATCACCATACAGTATAAACTATGCCTCCTCTGACAGTTTTGTTACCTATAGCTGTCAACAACAAACAGATTGCTTTGAGAAAAGCACCAAGTATCAAACTCAAAGGCTTCATAGCACTAATATGAATAGCTACTTGATTTTCAAATGGATTTTTCTTCAGTTGAGTAACTTGGAGAAATGCATGCACGTTAAAAAAACAGTTGTGAAATTTTGCACCTATATTCCTCTCTTCTTGTTGTTTCATTTTTTAAAAAACAGAAGATATTAACCCATTGGAAGAGTTTTACCTGAAGTCCTTCAATGGCTAATCGAAGCATACTTGGTGTCAGTTTAGAAGCCTGTTTGAAAGTGAAGTTGCTCCAGTCTATAATCAAAACAAATCCATTTACTTGAAGTTCTGGATCCTCTATCATGGCTTCCAAGGAAAGAAGTATGGCGCGCAAAATATCTACCAGTGTGTACCTGTCAAGACATAAAATAAAATATTGAGTTAAACTGTACAACTGTAATCATATATTGGAAGAAAAGGTTTGACTTTGCTACCAGCCATTGGAATTTCAAGTGTGCATGGTATAAAGTATGTTCATCATGGAAGAAGGCCAAACTGTACAGTCTTGACAGGTGTTAGGGAGACTTGATCTTGTGCATCATGTGGACACAACAAACTCAATTCACCCCTGCCCCGCCTCATTTGTCTCACTTTTTTATTTCTCCAAAGCTTCTAAGGATTACTTTTAATTCCTTTTTTTTAAAATAATGAATGCTACAACCCCATTACCTAGATGCAAAGACACACTTTCCCCACCACCTTAGCAACTGGAAAAAATATTTTAAAATTGCAGTCACACACACATATACACAACTAGTGATGTTATTCCTTATTATGTTGTAATCATAATGTAAAGTTATTATACCTTTGTTGATAGGGGAGGGGATTAATTTTGAATAACTATTTAGTTTAGAACAATTTCATTTTAAAAGCTGGGGTTGGGAAAAGACACTTGTGTGATTTTCTGCCTGATACTCTCTATTCTGTGCTGGAAGGTCAGGTGGGGGATATTTGTTGCTCTGTCTGAAAAAGCAAACTGTATTGGGATGGATTTGCTTGGTAGCATGATACAAATAACAAAATATCAATTCAATCCATATATTCCACATATTTATATCCTACTTTTCCTCTAGAGTCCAACACAGATTGCATAATAGTTCTAGATACTGCTGAACTTCAGCAGTTGAAGCACATTGCATTGCTACAGACTATGTATTTTTACTACTGTTGTTTGGTTTAAAAAATACAGTTGCCTCAACAAGATGGAAACTGATTAAATGTTAGGCATTATTCTATTTTGAGGAATTTTTATTTTTCTCCTTCAGCCTTCATTGTGATGAAACATACTATCACAAACCTCCAAAGTAATTGCCAGTTATACATATGAACACACCATACACACAAAGTAGCATATCACCCTTGCTGTGATGTGAATGACAATGGAACAATGGCTTCAAACTACAAGAAAGGAGATTCCATCTGAACATCAGGAAGAACTTCCTGACTGTGAGAGCTGTTCAGCAGTGGAACTCTCTGCCCCGGAGTGTGGTGGAGGTTCCTTCTTTGGAGGCTTTTAAACAGAGGCTGGATGGCCATCTGTCAGGGGTGCTTTGAATGCAATATTCCTGCTTCTTGGCAGGGGGTTGGACTGGATTTATTTATTATTTTTTATTATTTACAGCATTTTTACCCCGCCCTTCTCAACCCCCCCCTCCCGGGGGGGAGGGGGGGACTCAGAGCAGCTCAGAGCGGATGGCCCATGAGGTCTCTTCTAACTTTATGATTCTATGACTAGGAATGGCTCTTTATGATTTCAGCTGGGACCCATCCCAGCCATGCTTGGAGATACTCAAGACTGAATGTAGAACTTTTGGCATGTGCTCCACATTCCTTTGGAATACTCTTCTGCACCTTTCCACAACCTAGCGATCATTGATTTGTTTTTGTTAGCTATTGATAATGAGAGATTAGTAACCACATTTACAACTTTGCACACATGAAACTTCTTAAACTTTATAGAGGTTAATTTCAACAATCTACAAATGTCAGGATTGCAGCCATTATTTTTAAAGTAAATTGACCCTTGCAAGACCCTGTATGCTGAGAAAGTCCTATTAACAGTATTTAAAAACATCTCAACATGATATCTGGTGAGGAGCCTTGATTTTCTTAAATGCCCTTCCTAAATATTGTAACATGAGACAAGCAACCTCAGTTTGCAACACCACAAAAGAATATAAAATCTATGATGGACCACTTCTTCCCTTCAGTACTAAAGTCTCAGAACTTTCTGCCCCATATGAAGATTCAAAATTCAGGCAGCACAAATTGTAACCTTTTGTTTTCAGAGCATCGGCATCAGATGAATTACGATGAAAGAAATCTGCCTTAAAGCCTTCACACAGCTATTTGCATAAAAACTCATCTCAAATTCTCTCTAGACCTGCATTAGCCATCATTTATGGAATTGGACAGGTAGAAGCAATCATCTTTATTGTTATTTATGTAGGCAACATGAGAGGAGGGGCAGATGTAAACCTAAATTTCCTTCATGGGCTTCTGACATACTTCATTACTTTACTGCACTGAGTAAATGACGAGACATGCTCCATTCTGAACAAAATCTTTAAATTTGCCCTCTATGCCACAAATATAAGCAGCTCCCAAGTTAAGAACAAGATAGGTTCTGTAGGTCTGCCCTGTGGTGTTTGTTTTGCTGTCTGTGCCACTGTTCAGAAGATTTCACCTCCCTCTCTGTCCCTGTGAGAATCGGATTTTGAACATTTTCGCTTGTTGTGGAAACAAGGCTTGGTGATAAAGCTTCTGTGGGTATACCTTTCCCCCACAATAACTGTTTCATGAGTGAATTTCCCTTTCTAGATGCAGATTTTTCTCACTTTCTGTTGTCCCTCTCTCTCATACACACCCTATTCTTAACTGTGAGTCATCTGTAAGTTGGATGTTTGTAACTTAGGGACTGTCTGTACATCCAGTGTGATATTTTGTACCCATATTGAAATTTGCCAACATTTCAAAACTTGCATTTTGAAAAATTCTCATTATTTTCAGATTCCACTGATTGAATGATTCATACCTTTAAAATCCTCATTTACTTTGAATCAACTGTTTTTTATCCATACATATTACTGCAATGGTTTTACACATATCTCCAACAAATAGCATCCATGACAGAAGGTGCGCCTATAGAATTAATGCAATATGACACCATTTTAACTGCCATGTCCCAATGCTATATAGAATCATAAGAGTTGGAGTTTGGTAAGACACCTACACTATTTGGCAGAAAAAGGTAATTTTCACTTTTAAAATTACAACTCCCATGTTTCCATATCATTTACCCTTGGCAGTTAAAAGTGGTATCAAGATGCATTAATTCTACAGTGTAGATGCACCCAGAGACTGTTAGAAAAAGGAAACTGAGGAAAATACATGCTCAGTGTTGGCATGCAAATTAGAAGAAGGGCTTAAAAGCATCTTCTTCTGTTTGTTTCAGAACAAAGTAAAACTTATTCTCAGTTATTCACCCTACCTAGCTCCCAAATTAGATATTATAATACTGTTATAAATTCTGTCAAATTCTGTCCCGCTTTCCTTCTCCATCTTCCCCCCAAGCAGTATTTGTTACCATCCTCTCACAAACTGATTACTTCCACCTATCCAGTTCCTTTCACTGAATCTGATGTTAATAACTACTGAACATTTACTGTTGACAGGCCTAACCATCTGTAATAACATCACGCTTCATGCCTAACCAATTAATGAAAGAATACATCAAAAAATGATGCAACTAGAATGGAAATTGTGCTTACACCCTCATAGATGCTAAAGGGTTTAGGGTGTTCTTCAGGTTAGGTACAGGACGCTTTTCTCTTGACATGTCTTGATGACTTCTCAGGTGAGCAGTATGAATTTTGTCTTATTAATATTAAAGGCAGTTTATTAAAGAGATTCTGGTTTATTTTGTTAGTGGGTGAGTTGTTGTTAGCTGCCTTCAGGTCCATTTCAATTTATGGTGACCCCATGAAGGATAGACCTCCAAGTCACCCTATCCTCAACAGCTCTGTTCAGGGGCAGGAGACTCATAACCTTTGCTTCCCTGACTGAGTCTATCCATCTGTTGTTTCCCTATTTTGTTATCACCCTCCACCTTGCCAAGTGAGTCCTGTCTTTTCAGGATATAGCCAAAATTACAACAACCTCAGTTTAGGCATTTTGGCTTATAGAGACAGTTTGGGCCTGATTTGTCTTAGGACATATGATTGGCATTCTAGCAGTCATATGACTGTCATTCTTGCAGTCCGCAGCATCCATGGACTGCTTTTTTCAAGCACTACATTTTAAAATGAATTGATTTTTTTCCTATTGGCATTCCTCATTTTTCACAACTGCACATAGTAATAGGAAATACAACTGCATGAAACAGCCTAACGTTAGCAGTGAATTAAATTTTTTTGCATTTTTGGATCACAAAATCATAGAGTTGGAAGAGACCTCGAGGGCCAGGCATGTAGCCAGGGGGTGGAGGCTTGAGGGGCTTCAGCCCCCCCCCCGAAATTCTCATGGTGGTCCGCGAGAAGGCCTTACTGGTACATTATTTAAACTGTTATGTTTATTCATATCATGATCTGATCACCATGCTCAATATATCCCATATGCATGGGGGTATTGGGGTAATGATACAAAAGGTTTGCTAGGGTAGACCCTCTTTCACTCAGACTCAGCCCCCTCCAAATCAAACTCACCCCCCCCCCCCCGAAACAAAATCCTGGCTACAGGCCTGTCGAGGGCCATCCAGTCCATCCTCCTGCCAAGAAACAGGAAAACTGCATTCAAAGACTTGTCTAGTTTATTTGCTTATTTGCTTATTTGCTTATTTAGATGGGCACCAGAGCTCTTTGTTTGCAATTCTCACAACTAACCCCTAAACTACATAACCCAAGTTCCATATGCGGGACCTGTGGCAGTAAAAGTGGAATCATTGTGTTATATATGCGTTATGTAAAAGATTGTTTCGCGTCCTAGTCTCTAAGGAAGCAGAAAACAAGCTTTCTCCCTCCTCCCTGTGGCTTCCTCTCATGTATAAATATGTGAGAGGAAGCCACAGGGAGGAGGGAGCAAGCTTGTTTTCTGCTTCCTTGGAGACTAGGACGCGGAACAATGGCTTCAAACTACAAGAAGGAGATTCCATCTGAACACGAGGAAGAACTTCCTGACTGTGAGAGCCTTTCAGCAGTGGAACTCTCTGCCCCGGGGTGTGGTGGAGGCTCCTTCTTTGGAAGCTTTTAAACAGAGGCTGGATGGCCATCTGTCAGGGGTGATTTGAATGCAATATTCCTGCTTCTTGGCAGGGGGTTGGACTGGATGGCCCATGAGGTCTCTTCCAACTCTTTGATTCTATGATTCTATGGTCTTAGTGTAGATTTAAGGGGACATTCATAAATTGAGGCTATGTGTGGTATGATACATTAGAGTATTATGTTAAAATGATAGAAATCCAAATTGAAACAAGAACAATACACAACAGTTTTGTTTTACTCTGATTGACACAGTGTCTTCATTTAGATTTCTTCCCAAATAAAGTATTTCACTTGCATTTTAGCAGAGGAATAAGCATATGGCTAACATAAAGGCACATTTGAATTCAAAATATGACTTTTTTCAATGACAACTTCCAGAATCCTTCAGTGAAGACAGTGGCTGACTAAGCTTATTGGGACATTCGGGAAGTTGTAGTCCTAAAGAGTGACTTTTCTAAGTTATGTGCTGAATAACCCTGGGTTAGGAGTGAAGCCAATGGGTTGATCTCACCCCTTTTTCCATGCAGTCTGCGTATGCCTGGAAGAAATAAGTGGACAAGGCATCTGAGCCAGAGCACAGATTTGTCTAACCTGGTGCTCTCAGCTGCTATTAATCTTGCCCTCCAGGCCTGCTTCTGAAGATCCTTTTAACTGTAGAGGTGGGGTGTTAATCTGGGGCATTTTTAAAGGCAGCACCAGAGGGGAACAATCTTATTCCCATCCACCATGTATTTACTCTATACACATACACACAACAGGTCCTTGATATGCATTGGAATTTGGTTCCAGAACCCTTTGTAAATCTCAAAATCAATGGATACTCAAGTCCCATTGTATACAATAGCATAGTAAAATGGTGTCCGTTATATAAAATGATAAAACCAAGGTTTGCCTTGTTATTGTTGTTGTTTTCAGGGGAGGGATATTTTCAAATATGGATGGTCAGATCTGTGGAGGCATAATCAATGAATATGGCCAACACTCTACAGACATAGATACATACATTTTTGGAACTGGGCGATGAACATGCTAAACATACAAGACATCTCGATGGCACTGTAAGATCAATACTGAAAATGAGGAGTGCATAAAACCATGTCTTAAATCCTGGAGCTGCTACAAGTCAGTTTCACTGGCTCAGAAAGACCAATGTTTTCCTATGCTCCTAACAGGCTTCATGGGGGAGAGGAGGTGTTCCAAAATTTCAGTTCCATACTATCTTAACTGAAGTTAAGTGAATGACAAGCAAAAAGAAAAAAAACCTGTGCACATCATGGTTCTTATTTGTTTTAGAACTGAATATTTTTCACAATCTAATTACAAACTCACCATCAAATATATGCGGATAACAAATGTATGGACGTGTGAGTTGATATCATGCAAATTAGAAATGTGAAACCTTTGGCCTCTCAAACAGTGAGGAACTACTACAATGTGGAATGAATTTACGGATTCTGAGCTGGCGAACGTTGAGCACTAGACTGGCTTTATTGATATTGATGTATAATTGATTTTTAATTGATTTAATTGTTTATAACTGTTGTCTCTATATGTTATTTTATTGTTGTGTTGGCATCGAATTGTGCCTTTTGTAAGCCACCCTGAGTCCCCCCTTGGGGGTTGAGAAGGGCGGGGTAGAATTACGCGAAATAAATAAAAAAATAAATACTCCCATAATACTGCACCACCCATCAGACTAGCTAGAACTCATGGGAATCACAGTTCAAAAACATCTGGAAGGTTGTGTGATACTACAACTCTAATGCATGTTATAGAAGGGTTTAAAAATTATCTGGTGAAATAAAAGAACTACTTGTACAGAAAAAAGAGAGATTAGTATAGAGTCCTGAATGTATATAAGATTGACATGAAGGCAGAAGTTGGGCAAGGTGTTATCCTGAGAGTTCATGAGCTCCCTGCCATCACGGGCTGCTGCTTCTGTTAAAATTTAATGGTGGGTGGCAGGTGTAATCACCTAAGAGCATCCAACTGCTTGGTCATTTGGAAAAGACTTACATGGATTTCTGTAAATTGTATGTATCCGCTCCATTGACAGTGAATGGGTTGATTCCTTGCCCATCCTCTTATATTGCCCAGACAAGAACATCTGAGACCAGCCTGAACCATGAAGTCTGCACATGATAAAGACTCAGCAGCTGTCGGTTTCATTTTCCATTATGAGATTTTCCTCATATTTCTTGTGTTCCTGATACTTTTGGTCTACCTCTCATTTCCCAGTATATTATGTTATGCTGCATTTTAGCCTGGAAAAGCATCTCATACATTTTCAATCACACATTTCTACTGGTAGGAGTCGCAGTTTCTCCTTCAGAAATAAAGCACCTGTATTTAAAAGTTATAAAGAAATCATTTGCTGAGCCAAATGACAGGATGCAACTTGTGGCTTCAATAGCATTCTGCAACATTCTGATATGTATCCGTTTATTCCCAATTCATCATCCTGGATTGAACCAAACTGACAAAAGTGAAGCTTCTGCAGACTATTTTCCATTCCAATTTGGAAGTCATTGATTTCTTTAAACCTCTGGGCCAATTACTATCTTTTGGTCTTTCCTACCTTATGACGTTGTTGCAAAAAGAAATGAAACAGTTCTCTGCAGAAAAGGCAAAATATAAAATGCATTAAAATCAAAATATCCTTGATAAGGAGGATGGATAGCCTCTCTTCAGAAGAAATGTTTCATGCTGTATCATCCTGGGCTATCTAGTTAGCTCCCTTCATGCTGCTGTCTTGAGCATGTGGGTTCAAATACCTGGGAGAGAAAAGACATGTCCCCTTCTTGGGTATGGTTACAAATTCCTCCTATTTCAGCCCACTAGACATATTACTACATTGCAGCCAAAACTATGGCAAGTGTTAAGAATATTAAAACTTCAGTGCTCTAAAAGATCTCATCACAGCTGTACTGAATACGCTGCTTTCTTATGGAGATAATATCTTCTGTCTGAATACTAGTCCCAATGGGAAGGAACTCATTTCAGATCCTCAAAGTGTAAATAATGCATGCAGTCTAGCCTCAATTTTTTGACATTACTGGAAACAACTGGGGAAAAGCAACCTCCTAAGGAACATGCGCAAAAGTGACATATTATTGGCTTGGTTTATTTATACAGTACCATCAGCAGCTGCTATTTACCATGCCTGTTGTAAGGAGGTGCACAGAGTTATGTTATAGTCAGCTAGAGGAGAATCCCATTCTTTCCCAGCTCAAGATAAATTGCATTATTTACTTGACAGACTACTGTAACCCAACATGAAAAGTACATCTATCCTTCACCATCAACTCAATGGTGATGTTACTAAAATGTTACTAAAAATCTTTCCAGCAAGACAGAGAATCAGGAGAATAAAAGGGCCTTCATGTACATATCTAGCACTTCATATTACCGCTGAGCCATGGCAGTTAAAGTGATGTCAAACTGCATTAATTGGGCAGTGTAGATATAGCCATAGTCCCAAATTCAGCAATACGTTTAAGGACTGTCTCTTGCTGTCATGATTGTTGTTGTGAGCTTTCGAGTTGCTTCTGACATAACACAAATCTATCACAGGGTTTTCTTGGCAGGAAATGTTCAAAAGATGTTTACCACTGCCTTCCTCAGCTGCAACTGAGAGAGTGCGACTCCTTCAAAGTCGCCAAGCACAGATTCCAGAATCATGGGCCAATGCTCAAGCAAATACACCAGAATATCTGGATCAATTCATGAACATTACAATTTGCCACACAGAAACGGCAGTACAAACAAGGTACCTTACATGCTGAACATTATGTTGGTCAAGTACTGGAACACAGTCATAATTTTTGTCACTGGTTCTATCAAAGGTCTGGTCTGCAATCCTGTCAGACTCAAAGCATCCCACAATGTGTTACAACCCAAATTCTACCTTTACCTGCTTTGATCCCAGTTGGCAGCAAAGAGGACCAGAATCTTCCTGCCGTAATGGTCAAGGTTGGCCAGCCCTCCGGGGAAGCCATCCTTGAGTGCCTGCTTGATGCCTGGGTCGGTGGCTTTGAAGCTCTTGAACATATCCAGGTTCTGCTGACGGTACTCAAAGTACTGGGCCAGCAAGCGGAAGGCCTCAAAGTGCTGGAACTTTCTAGCCCGAAGGAAACGGAGGATGAAGGCATCGTCCGTGCGCAGAAAGCCAATGTCTGGCCGAGTGATCACCATGTCCCGTACCTCCTGGATGTCCTGGTGCAAAGTGTCTGGGTTTTCATTCAATTCCAACCGGGCTTTTTCCAGCGTCTCTGGAGAGAGGCCTGCCTGCAAATGAGTCATTGTGCCACTCTGTCCTGTATCACTGCTTCCGCTCTTCTGGTTGGTAAGAAGGGATCCAAACCTAAATTTGCCAGAAAATCCCAAAGCTCTGGTTCCTTAGAAACAACAACAGGGAAAATAGATCCTTTGTTTCTCCAAGAGGGAGGGAAAAAAGCAGACTCCACCTTTTCAAAAACAAAAAAAAAATATCCAAAGAGCCTGGTGGTCCTTTGCCTTAAGGCATGAATCTCTCCGACACAAATATCTGGCAGCGTTCAATAGGTAAGCCTTGTTCAGTTCCCATTTGCCCTTTGCATCTTGCTCAGGCCAATTCTATGGTGACCCCACTAAGCATCTGGTCCCAACCTCCCTGCACTTGTTAACTGCTTGAAGCAGCTGTAAAAACTATGGCTGGCGGAAATTTGCTTTATTCTCCTGCTGCCAGCTGGCAGAAAGAATGGCCCTGGCAGGGCCCAAGGAAGCTGAGTTAATAGCTTTGAGAACCCCACGCAAGCAATAGGAAGGGGGTGAGCGAAAAGGCTTTCACCCACACTGTATTATCCCTTTCGGATGGGGTCCAGGGAAAATTAAATACCCCCTCAATCCAATCCCTATGGGATGTTCTCCAGTGGCAGCAAACAAGGCCTGAGAGCCAGGCAGCAATATTTCTTCCCCCTAGATTGGGATGATGTTGATTTCCCCCCTTGTCTTTTAACCCACCCCACTCCAGAGCGCTCTGCAAAGCAATGATCTCACTCTGGGTGCATCCTGCAACAGATTATATAGGGTGATAGAGACCAAGAAATAAGAGTGGGGTGCTTCAAGCAAGCCCTTCTTCCCTCCAGGCTCTGTATTTGGGAATGAGCCAGGGTTTTCTTAGGGGAAAGGGGGCTTCTTTCCCTGCCTCCACCTCTTTTGGTTTGTGGGGCTTTCTGAATGCCTTGGAATGGATTCTTCCGTCCTAGAACGGGAATGATGTGATGGAGGACCACAAGGAAGGCTTGGCGACCTTCTGGGCGCCTCACCTCCGCCTCGCTGGTGGGGCCAGGGGGATGCCGACGCCTGGCCAAAACAATAAAGATGGAGAGGGGGGGGGGGAGGGAAGAAGCGAGCGATCCTGCCGAAGATCCAGCCGAGGAGGGAAAGCACCGCCAGGCAATGCGGCACCTTCGGGCATCCGTCGGCGGCGAGGAGGGCGAGCCAAGCCGAGCCCCGGAGAGGCAGCCAAGGAGGAAGCAGCCTAGGTGGCCGCCTCCCGAGCCGCCTCTCCCACCAGCCCCGCCCGGGCCCCGAGCGGGAGAGGCGATGGACGCGCAGGAAAGGGCAGCCCAGGCGTCCGAGAGGGAGCCCAGAAGATGCTGAGGGTGAGGCTGGTGGTGCTGACTGATGCCTCCTCCTCCTCCTCCTCCTTTGTGTCCTCCGCCCGGCTCCGGCTGCCGGCTCTGCCTCGCGCCCAGCAGGTTGACGTCAATCAAGGCTCGCTCCCGAAGAGGCAGCCAGGGGCTCCCCAGCAGCGCAGACACCCCCCCCCACAAGCCCCGCCCACAAGGACCCACGCAAACCAAACAACCCACCCCGATAACACCCAGCCACCCAGCCACCACAAGGAGGAGCGGGACCCCCCAAGGGGCTCTCCATCAAACCCGAATGGTGCAGTGTTCCAGCAAGAATGTGCATTTTTACATAATTTCCCAGAAAATAGCACTGTGCTTTGCATGTAACTATAAAGGCAGCTAACATCTCCCAGCAAAGGAACCCCTGCAGGCAGCCACTAGCCAGGCTTTGAAGCTGCAAGGCCATTCAGTGCTAATCAAGGGGGCCAATTGCAAGATTCCCACTTGCCTCAAGCAGACAAGAGTTCTTTCTCCCACCCTGGACATTATTCCACAGATATATATTTGTTTCATGTCTGGAATTCCCCTGTTTTCAAACTGTTGACAGCACTGTGGACCTCGAACTGGACCATATGATTGTGATAATATTCGAAATGGCTATATGATTGTGATAATCAACGCATATGGTTTTTAACCTATTGTTTTATTTATGGTTTTATATTGTTGTTATATTGTCTTATTTGTGGCATCGAATTGTTGCCAGTGTAAGCCGCTCCAAGTCCCCCCCTTGGGGGCTGAGAAGGGTGGAGTAGAAATGTTGCAAATAAATAAATAAATAAATAAATTGTTTTACTGTCCTAATTTTTAGAGGTTTTAAATAACGGTAGCCAGATTTTGTTCATTTTTATGATTTCCTCCTTTCTGCATTTTAGTTTGGCCCTCCTCCCAATAACCTCGACACTTTATGTCCAAAGATATTCCCTCTAGCCAGGCCCATTTGAAGTTTTGCACTTTCCTCGGCTCTACTTAGGAATCATTGCACTTACTTGAGCCTGGACCCAGCTCTGATTTTGTTTTCAGCCATGATACTGTTTGTACGATGTTGTTGTGATTGTGTTGTGTTTTTATTTGATTGATTTTAATGTGGCTGTTTTTATCTGTAATTTTTGGGCTTATCCCGATGTAAGCTGCCCCGAGTCCCCTTGGGGAGATGGTGGTGGGGTATAAAAATTAAATTATTATTATTATTATTATTATTATTATTATTTCTGTTGAGATTGTCCACATGCTTATGGATTTCAATGGCTTTTCTTTGTTGCCTGCCATGGTGGTTGTGAGAGTGGTCCAGCATTTCTGTGTTCTGCTGTTTCCAGGTTGGTTCATCAGGTGCTCTGCTATGGCTGACTTCTCAGGCTGACTTAGTCTACAGTGCCTTTCATGTTCCTTAGTTTGTGTTTGGGTGCTGTGTTTAGTGGTCCCTATGTACGTAGACTTGTCCACTGCTAGGGATTTCCAAACAAGAATCAATCTGGCCCAGCTAAAACCTCCCAACAAAGGATTCCCCCAGGCAACAACTAGCCAAGCTTTGAAGCTGCAAGGCCATTCAATGCTAATCAAGGTGGCCAACTGCAACATTCACACTTGCCTCAAGCAGACAAGAGTTCTTTCTCCCACCCTGGACATCATTCCACAGATATATAAACCTCACTTGCCTAGTTTCCAACAGTCCCCCTCAACCTCTGAGGATGCCTGCCATAGTTGTGGGAGAAAGGTCAGGAGAGATATAGATATAGCAAACTTCACTAGAATTAGAAGCTCTAACTAGCCCCTATTCAACCCATCTTAAAACAGGAAAAATCCCATTGCATTTTTGTGATTTACTAGCAGACCTTATCATCGTTTCAGGATATCTTTTCTTTCTTATTTGTACCTGTTTAGGTCAAATAGGGATAAGTCATGGTTAGAAAACATTAGGCCCCAAAAGTTGCATCCAGCCCTCCTGAGGTCCCAATCCAGTTCTGTGGCATCTCAACAGCCAACCCCCAATATGTTAAAGAAGTGATCTATAAGTCTGGCCAGCAAAAGGAAAAGCATAAGAAAAGTGAAGGCTGATAAAAGAAAAAAAATCATCCCTGGATGCATTTTGGAAAAAAATCTTTCAAGCTCTCATTTGAAGATTCAAACTGTTGTTTACTTATGCAAGACTTGCTTAACCTGGTTGTCTCATTTCACATGTGCATATTTTTAGATTTGAATAAAACATTTTCTGAAATGTGCTACTCGACATTTTTATGTAATAGGAACCTATCACTCTTCTGTCCATCCTGTTTCTTCCTCTGATGCCAAATTTACTTCAAAAAAGTCTTGCCCAGGAACACATCTGGACATACTTTCTGGCACTTTGAGAGGATAAACCTCAGTCTTTCTCACACTGCACTTGTATAACACTTTGATAACACTCTAACTCAGGCATGGGCAAACTTTGGCTCTCCACATGTTTTGAACTTCAACTTCCAGAAATCCCAGCTAGCTTACTAGCTGTTAGGTATTGTGGGAGTTAAAGTCCAAAACACCTGGAGGGCCAAAATTTGCCCATGTCTTCTTCAACTGCTATGAGTGCATCCTTCAGAATACTGGGATTTTGTAGTTTGGGGTGTTTCATGTTTGAAAAAGCATTTCACTTATTCCAAAAGTAGAGTGTGTGGACACATTTGTGCTTTCAAACTGACACTGGATTTTGAAAACAACTTTTGTAAGTAAATACCATAGTCTATGGAAAAGAATGATGAGTGTATGGATGCTTTGCAGAGCTTCCTTGCAATAATTGCTTTGTTGTCTGCAAACATTGTTGCATGCCTTCAGGTTGTCCTTGACTTTTATGGTGACTCTACAACACCCAGAAATCCCAGCCAGTTTACCAGCTGTTAGGATTTCTGGGAGTTGAAGGCCAAAACATCTGGGGACCCACAACGCTAAGGTGACTCTATCACAGGATTATCGGGGGCTGAGAGTGTGTGATCAGCCAATTGGTTATTATGACTAAGCAAGATTAAAACCCTGGTCTCCAGAGTCATAGTCCAACACTCAAACTAATACACCATATAGGGTGGTGATGGCACACACATCCCACCTCCCACACACCTTAGAGCTGGTTTTAGATTGCGGTTTGGACACTTTCTCTCTAAAGGTTTGCCACCACTAGTATAGGGGATCATTAAAACACTATGTCATGGAAATCTAAGTACAAAACCTTTTCTAAATCTCCTCTTTTTTTACACAAATGTTCTACCATATCTGTACCACATGTGTTGTATGCCAACAACATACAAAGAGCCACACTGGAGAAGATCAAGATAGTAGCACCCAATGTTCCCAAAAACAATGGTTACCCCACTGTTCCCAGGTGATCACATAGTAACAGAGGGAACTACCTTACACCAACCCAGAACATTGGTCCATGAGCTTAGCATTGCCTAGACCAGCAAACAAAAACCCTTTGGAGTTTCAACAGTTTTTCAGCCTTACCTAGAAATAGGAGGCATTGGACATAGAACTTTCTACAGGCAAAACATATACCTACCACTTAGTTCTGGATTCTTCTAACAGAACATAAGGATTGAAAACACAAACATAACAAAAAGTCCTTTTCTATTATTTTCCTCAGGAGCACCCTACCAATTAATTCTAAATTCATGTGATATCATAACAAATCTATGCTGTTGGGTTGAGTGTTTTCTTTAAAAAAAGAAGGGAAAAAACAGAATTTAAAGGGGGAAATGCATTAAGGATATAGATTCCCATTGATTCTTAACAGAAAGCAGCTTGATGCTGAACCAACTGGCAAAAACAATTCCACAGTGCATTCAACTTGAAAAGAAGTTTGGATGAAATTGCCCACAAAGCTTTAAAATCTTACTATTAAACTTAGCATGACAGTCTTAATCCTGCTCAATAGATTGTCATCTTTTCATGTTGAGGGGGCTGGTATGTTCCAGTGAACCTGGGGGCTTATGCGCTCTCAGGGGGATCTCCCTGGATGGAAAGGTCACAGGGGAGGAACCAGACCAAGCACAATTTGAAGTCCTCAATGGTGGAGCAGGCAGATGATAACATAGCACATGCTACAATGACTATGAAGGCAAAAAAGGGCTGTAACAGATGAGAAGCTACTGATCATTAGGCTAACCATGCCACTGTGAAGACAATGTGTTGATCAGCTGTGCACTGACATCCACACATAAAATAAATTCATGCACAGGCATCTTCCAAAAGAAAAAAAACAACAAAAGTCTGATGGCGATCAGTGAGTGGTGACAGGGCAGGACTGTGGAATTTGGAAACCACAAACTGCCACATGGGTGGTAGGGTAGATGTGGATTCAGTTGTTTTACTTCAAGGTCCAAGGCAGTTGAGCAGTTTGGCAATTGTATCCATGACTGAGCAGCCCTTTTCAGGAGCCACTCTGCTTACCCCATAAGGGGAGGGGCTAGAAAAGGTGTCCTAAACATAGTCTGCCTCTGTTCTCCCTGACTGAACTGACACATCCAGAGCAATCACCACCTTACGACCAAAAAAGACAAATGACTTTTGGAATGTGAAACATGTGGACCCACCGCCAAGACCCTACACTTGGAAGGCAATCATACTCCGCCACGAGTGATAGCCTATGACGAGTCTTAATGCTGATTTTGAGCATTAATTTGTTCATGTTAATGGTTTTAGTGAATATTATGGGACTAAA